AAAAACTGATGGCGACAGAAAGGGAGTGGATAATAGTGGAGGCAATATTCCTGAGGAGACAGGAGCAAAAGGCTCAAGAGCACAGAAAGAGGAAGCCAAGACGGCAGGAAGCAGTGACTTTAAATAACGCCTCAATTCAAATTTCGGAATGGCAGAAACCAATAAAAGGTCACAAAGACATTACAAGAAACCATTTGCTGGCTAGGGATGCAGCTGGCACTGACTGGCAACTCTATTGCCCAGATGAAGTCCTGGGTCACAGTTCCAGGGTGTGGAGGGCACTGGGTGGTCAGTCCCCCCCAACCGAAGACAAGAGGAATGCAGGAGTGCAGAAGCCCTGGCCACAGTTCCAAGGCCAGGAGGAGTGCCAGTGCTTATAGCTGCAGGGGACTAGGGGCCCTTCCTGGGTAAAGACCAGAGCACAGACCAGGAAAGCAGTAACCACACCCCTCCCAGGATCATATCACCTTGGAAGCACTGAAAACTTGCAAACCCCCTGAGTTATCTTTGAAAACAGAAGCATGAAAAATCCTGAAGCTTGGGACAGTGCCTCCCCAACCCCAAGTGAGCAGAGCCCAACTTTAACATAAAGTTCAAAGTTAAGAAGTAGGCTGGAAAAACGAGGAAACAACAAAAAAAAAGAACTTGACCATTAAAAGCTACTAAACTGGCAGGGAAGACCAAGACACAAACTCAGAAGACAATAATGTGAAAAGCTACAACCAAACCCTTAAAGGAAACTGCTGAGAGGAGACAAGCCCAACAAAAATTCCTGGAATAGTTTGAGAAGAGATAAGAGTGGTATAGGAAAAATTGGGAAAAGGAATGAGATACAAGAAAATTATGAAAAGAGAATTAACAGCTTGGTAAAAGAGCACTTCCCCCCGCCCCCAAAACTGAAGAAAATTACACCTTAAAAAACCAGAACTGGCCAAATAGTAAAAGCACAAAAATCCACTGAAGAGTAGAACTCCTTAAAAAGCAGAACTGGCCAAATGGAAAAGGAGGTACAAAAATTCACGTAGGAAAATAATCCTTAAAAATTAGAATTGGGCATATGGAAGCTAATGACTCCATGAGACATCAAGAAACAATAAAACACAATTGAAAAAAATGAAAAAAAAAAATAGTATAAAATGTGAAATATCTCATTGGAAAAACAATTCACCTGGAAAACAGATCTAGGAGAGATAATTTAAGAATTATTGAACTACCTGAAAGCCATGATCAAAAAAAGAGCCGAGATATCATATTTCAAGAAATTATAAAGAAAAACTGTCCCAATATCTTAGATCCAGAGGGTAGAATAGAAACTGAAAGAATCCATGGCTCACTTCCTGTAAGAGATCCTAAAATGAAAACTGCCAGAAATATTATAGCCAAATTTTAGAGAATAACTGATTGGCAATACAAGTGCATAGAACCGAAAGACAGCCTGGAAGAACAGAAGCAAAAATCAATAATGTTAAAAAGAAAGAATGCTGTGTTGACAAAGCTGACAAAAATGACAGTATTACTATATTATATTATATACGCTATAATATTGGAGGAATTGTAGGAAGACAGGCATGCTGAGGCATTGCTGGTGGAACTGTGAACTGGTACAACTACTCTGGAAAGCAATGTGGAATTATGCAAATAAAGTGGCCCAAATATTTCATAACCTTTGACCCAGAGATTCCATTAATAAGAAAAATGTTCCCCATATACACCTACATTTTTATAGGAGCACTTTTTGTGATGAGCAAAGATACGTAATAACAGTTAATTTTGGAGGGGCAGTGGAAGTATAGTCATATATCACAGGTCAAGGAGAAACTATCGTAAGGGGCCAGAAAAAAAACAATTCAAATATTGTGGATCCACAATGGACAGCATATTTCACATAAGGATCACATGAGATTTGGCAACTTCCACATTAAAAGAGCAGAGGATTTAGAATATGATATGCTGGAAGGTAAAGGAGTTAGGATTGCAATCAAGAATTACCTACCAAGCAAAACTGAATATAATCCTTCAAGGGAGAGAACTGACATTTAATAAAAGAGAGAACTTTCAAACATTCCTGATAAAAAGATCAGAGCTGAATAGAAAATCTGACTTCCAAAGACAAGACTCACGAGAAGCACAAAAAGATAAACATGAAAGAGCAATCACAAGGGACTCAATGTAATTGAACTGTTTAAATTCCTAAATGGGAAGATGATACACATAACTACTGAGAACTTCTTAGGGCAGTTAGGGAGTTAGAGAGCAGGAGAGTTAGCTGATTATGGTGGGATAATCTTAAAAAAAAAAAATTAAGGGGTATGAATGAGGGATGCACTGGGAGAAAGGGGGAGGGAGATGTCGAATAGGGAAATTCTTTTCAAACAAAAGAGGTGTGCAAGGAAGAGCTCTCATAGTGGAGGGGGAAATGGTAGAGGTGGCAGGCCATATTTAAACCCCATTTTCATTGGAATTGGTTCAAAGAGGGAAGAACATATACACACACTCAACAGGACATAGAAATCTGACTTAACCGATAAGGAAACTGGAGGGGAATGGGATAAGAGATATGGGCTGGGGAAGGGGGGAATGATAAAAGGGAAGGTGGATTGAGAGAGGCAGTTGTCAGAAGCAAAACATATTTTTGAGTAGAAAAAGGATAAAAAGAGAGAGAAAAGGATAAACAGAAGAAAATAAGACAGAGGGAAAAACCACAGTAATCATAACTATGAATGTGAATGGGATGAACTTACCCATAAAATGGAAAGAGACAGGAGAACGTATTAGAAATGAGAATCCAACAATATGTTGTTTACCAGAAACACACTTTAAACAGAAAGAAACACACAAAGTTAAAATAAAGGGCTAGAGCATAATTCATTATGCTTTAGTAGAATTAAAAAACAGGGGTAGCAATCATGATCTCAGACAATGCAAAAGCAAAAAAAAATAAAATAAAAGACCTAATGTAAAAAGATAATTAGGAAAACTACACTTGGCTCGAAGATACCATAGACAATAAAATAATACCAAATTTTTTTTATAGCAAGTTTCTCTGATACAGGGCTCATTTCTCAAATATATAGGGAACTGAGTCAAATTAAAAAAAAAAAAGAAATTCCCCAATTGATAGTCAAAGGATACGAACGGGCAGTTTTCAGAAGAAATCAAAGCTATCTACAATCATATAAAAAAATGCTCCAAATCACTGTTCATTAGAGAAACGCAAATTAGAACAACTCTGAGGAACCACCTCACATCTATTAGAAATAATAAACACTGGAGGGGATGAGGAAAAATAATATACTGTTAGGAGCAGCTAAGTGGCAAAGTAAATAGAGCGCTGGCCCTGGAATCAGGAGGCTCTAAGTGTAAATCCAACTTCAGACACTCACTAGCTGTGTGATTCTGGGCAAGTCATATCACCCTGTTTGCCTCAGTTGCCTCATCTGTAAATGAGTTAGAGAAGGAAATGGCAAGCCATTCCAGGATCTTTGCCAAGAAAACTCTAAATGGGGTCAAAAGAGTCAGACATAACTGAAACAACTCAACAACAACAAATAAGAAAAGATGAGGAGGTGAGGTTTCAGGAAAAAAAAAAACCAAACCATGGTAAAGACCTATTATGAACTGATGCAAAGTGAGGTGAGAAGAACCAGGAGATCACGGTGCACAGTAACAGCAATGTTGTAATGATGATCAATTGTGAAAGACTTGGCAATTCTGATCAATACAATGATCTAAGACAATTTCAAAGGACTAATGATGAAAAAAACGTTATCCACCTCCAGAGAGAGAACTGAAAAATGCTGAGGGCAAATAGAAGTAAAATTTTCTCACTTCTGTTTCCTCTTTTTTTTGGGGGGGGGGAAGGGGGGGTGATATGGCCAATATGGAAACATGTCTTGCATGATTTCACACGTATCATTTTGCTTGCCTTCAAAGTGGGTAGCGGAAGAGGGGGTGGGAAGGAGAGATTTTGGAACCCAAAATTTAAAAAGAAAAGTATGTTAAAAATAAAAAAGAAATTTGGATTAAATTCTCCCAAGGAGAAAGGCTGTTTCTTCATCAGAGGCCGGCATAAACAGAGACTAGGGGCTGATGCTAAGGGGTTCTGAGATCTAGAGAACTTTAGAGGGGGGAGAGATTTTCTCAGCAAAGTGGGACACGAAGTCTTCTGCTGAGAGGGCAGGACAAAGCGGCAGAGTGGGAAGCTTAGGGAGACGGCATGAGGTTTGGAATAGCCACTGGGGGATGTGAGAGTAAACCAAAAGAGAAGAGTCAAAATATTCAGAGACGTCCTAGGTCAGAAACAATTCAAAGAGAAATGATCTGTACCTAAGGATCCCTCGAGGGCACATACGGACTTAGTTGTACCATGTAATATTCACTATGTTTTACTGCATTTTTATTAATTTTGTAAAATCATTCCCAATTACAATTTAATCTAATTCAAGCCACACTTGGGAGTGTTGTAGGCCACACGTTTGAGGCTTCTGTTCTTGATGGAATATCAGACAACCAATTTGTTGGGAATCCAATCAGCAGGGTCTTATGACTTCCTCTAGTACTGGTGTTTGCCAAGAAATGAGCAACAGCAGGGCAAGGGCAGAGCATGATGGAACACTGAACTGATTCACTCTAGCCTTCCGACTGGGAAGGAAGTCAAGTGAAGTCATCAGAGCAGGAGTGAAAGCCTGGGAGAGCACGGAGGAGTGGAGGAGCTGGAGGTCCTTGGAGGGGATGAAAGACAGGCACAGGAGGGTTGTGGGTGACTCCTCCTTCTCGCCAGGTGCAGCGAGGGAGGAGGCTACGGGATCTGGGTGTTTGAAGATGAAGTTCCCTGTGTGGCCAGGGAGCATGGACTGGAGCCCAGCACCGAACTCTCTGAGAAAGGAGGGCAGAGAACGACACAGGGGCTGGGAGGTCATGGCGCCGAGCAACGCTAAATGGCTACAGCATGCTCTGTGGTGCCTTGCAGGAGCGAGCTGCCAGGGCCTCTCCCTCCTTACCTTCACAGTTTCCAAGTCTCCTGCTTTGGACGCCTCTAGGAGCCGGTAGTCAACATCGGAAGTGCGTACAGGTGTACTTTCTGTAAAACAGATTGGGACGAGTTGGAGATAAGGAACACCGAGAGAAGAAGGGCCATGGAGGGTGCCAGAGACACAGACATTCTAGCACCCTGTTTGGTAAGTCACAACACCTATGGCCACCTTGAGAGTGGTGGCCCAGGCCCGAGCAGGGCCTTGTTTTCCCACCATTCCACAGACACCGTTCTTTTCTCTACAATCTCACCTCCGCTCTGGGCTCTCCTGGATGTGGCCTCATGACTGTTCAAGGTTACACTTGTAACACACTGTTTGGCCAGGAACATCTTCACAGAAGTTCTGACTGATCTGTCACTCAACCTTGGAGACATTTTTCACATTTCCTAGTGATTTATTTTATAACTCCTGACCCAGCATTCATTTTTAAATTATTCAATGATAAAGCAGAGAAATCCCTGCTAACCATAGCCAGTGATGGGCCGGCACTGTTTGGTGCCAGGGAGAGGAATGCAGAAGTGAGACAGTCTGCCCCCAAGGTGCTCATGGAGTATTGGAAGAAAGACACCTGTTCACAGGTAAGTAAATACAGAACGTATTTTTAAGAATTAATCAGCAACAACTGGAGGGGGGATGAGGGCACTATGATGTGAAAGAATTCAGGGAAGACAGTTGCAAGGTGTTGGCATTGGAGGAGATTCCAGGAAGGTGAGAGGAACAGGAAGAGCAGGCCTCCGGCGCTGTGGCACAGGGAGGCAGGAGGTGCAGCATCGTGTCTGGGAAGGAGGAAGAAGGCCCATTCGGTCAGAGCTGGGAATGTAGGAGGGCAGTCAGACATGATCTGCCTGGAAAGAGAGGCTAGCACTCTAGCCAACAGTCCAGATGAGAGGGGTGAGGGCCCGCATTTGGAAGGAGAGACGCTGAGGAGGTGGCACTGACCAAGCTGGGGCGGGGCACGTGAGTGTAAGACAGACAAAGCTGGAGAGCCGTAAGAACCGACAATTCTCACAGGTCGTTAGTCTGGGTGGGTCTAGGTAAATGGGGCTGAACCCCACAGGAACAGGCAAGTGTGGAGAAGGGGTGGCTTTAGGAGCAAAGACACTCAGGTCTGTTTTAGATACATTTGGCAGGCTGGCAGCTGGAGGGGCAGGCTGCAGAGGGCCATCCCTCTGGAGCCTGGAGGGACATACATCCATCCACACAAAGGTGTGGACCACGGATGGCAGATGACGTGGCAATGCAGCCTGTAAGGTTGTTACCTCCCCCACGAGAACATAGGCCAGCGGCGCACATGTACTCAGTGAAGAGTAAATGTCGGCCGACTGATTCATCCTAAAAGGAGTAGGGAGCCACAGAAGATTGCTGAGCAGGTGTGTGACATGGTCAGACTACGGCTTTAGAAAAATACCTTTAGGATTTTTATTAAGGGATTGATACAATAATAGTTTTAGTGGTGCCACAGGCAGAGCAGGAGGTGGCCTTAGGGAGATAACAATGAGTTGAGTTAAAAATGCCTATGGGACATATAATGTCTAATAAGTGGCTGGTGATGCAAGACTGGGGCTAGACATACAGACACCGGGAGTGACATTCATAAAGGAAATTAGATCCATGAGAATTGATTAAGTCATCAAGGGAGGAAAATATAGAGAGGAGAGAACCCTGGACCAAGTACTGGGGGGCGCTCACAATTAGAGGCACGGTACAAACGATGATCCAACAGAGGAGGCTGAGGGATGGTCAGACAGGACGAAGACGACTAGGAGACAGTGGTGTCAAATGCAGAGAGAAGAAATGAGTCTCCAGAAGGAAAGGGGGTGGGGTGGGGGTCAACAGTGGCAAATTCTGGGGAGATAGAGGAGTACACCGACTGAAAAAACATGAAACATCTGGCAACAAAGAGATGACTGACGACTCTAAAGAGAGAAGCTTCAGGTGAGTGGTGAGGTCTGAAGGACAGATGCAGAGGGCTGAGAGGCAACCAAAGACAGCTTTTTCTAAGGGTTTGGCTGTGAAGAGAGGCTTGGGAGGAGGGCAGGGCCGCGGACTTGCGCATGGTTCTAGAGAGCACAGCAGAGGTGAGCAGAATGAAATAGAGATGGAGAGTGGCTGGCGAGAAGGGCCCACCATCAGTGCCTGGAGCAAAGGAATAACAAAGGAGGGACAACTTCTAGGAATGTGTAGATAGAGAGAAGTGGAGGGTTCGGAAGGAATGACTTCTTTTTCAAAGGGGAGGGAGAAGGAGGAGAAGAGAGCCGAAGGGAAGGGCGGCATGTGACAGAGAATCAACGAGGAAGGGAGGAACATAAGGATTCCCTTGCAGCAGTGATGAGCAAAATGTCAGTACAAGCTGACAATGTCTGAGCGTGTCACCTGATCTGAAATGACAAAGTCAGAATGCTGAGAATGCCCCTCGTCTGAGTTTCCAGGGGTCTCGGCCCTAGTATAATACTTCCAGGTGTGCCTTTCACCAATGCATATCAAAGAAGATGGGATGCGCATGAGTCAGTGCATGTACATAAACATACAGCATTCTCACATGGCTCTGACTTCTCAAGCTCATGAGGAGCTCAGCTGACGGCCAAGGGTATTTGATTAGATAGTTCTATGTAGAACTACGTCCCGATCCATTAGATTGAGATGATAAACTGATAATCTGTTATTGATCAACTGCTATCAAAGGCATGGGGGAGTGGGTCAAATACAAGGCCTGAAGGATGCTGGCACAAACAAACCTGGTTTTAGCGATGCCTGGGAAAAGGAAGATACAGACTGATAGCTTCCTATCTCTAGGGTGCAAGGGTGACCTTGTTCTGATCCCATCCTCACTAATGTACAAGAGCTCTGCTGTCTGTTTTCAAGTTAATATTGAGAGGGAAAAGTACACAGACATCACGGTGCGCGTGCGTGTACCTACCCAAACAGATGCGTAGCACAGGCATGTTGGAGGGCTCAGGGGAGGGGGGTGTGTGGTTCTGAGCGTGACAATGATCCCCATAGATTTCTTCAGTACTTTTAAGATAGTGGCACGTGGCCGCTCCAATGTGGGCCTCAAGGCCAGGAAGACCTCTACAGATGCAAACGACAACTTCTCTACAATTCAGCACAGGGTCTTTCAGAGTTGTGGTGGTGTAAAAATTTAATTTTTTTTTTTTGGTTTTGTTTTTAGGCAGTTGGGGTTATGTGACTTGCCCAATGTCACATAGCTATTAAGTGTCAAGTGTTTGGTCTGAGGCCGGATGTGAACTCAGGTTCTCCTGACTTCAGGGCCGGTGCTCTATCCACTGAGCCACCTACCTGCCCCCTAAAAATGTAATTTTTAAACTAAAAATCTGGTAATGAGTCTCCCTCCCCACTCACAAAATCTTTCTGCTAAGATTTTCTTTACTGATTTTAATGGGAATACTTCTACTGTTTCTCCACTGACAGTTTCAAACATACACTTTGTATCACCTTGTAGAATATTCCCACATTAACTTTCTTTTTTTAAACTGAAGATGTTCTTCATCCTTTCGCTTGCTGATAAGATTTATCACACTGTTTACTTCCCTGGTATTAAAGATGGCAATAAAGAGAAGTGGAAAGCCAAATGAAAGTGGGAGACACTCATGGCCCCCATTACCATCCAACGGCATCAGTGTGGTGGACATTGGTAGCACAAACGAGGGTGGGAGAGCTAAAAACATCTCCTGGGACTCACCACTTAGAATCTGCTGCACGGCTTCATTTCCCATCTGGGCAGCTGTAAAACCTTGGAGGGAGATGATGGAGGGGTCAGAGCCATAACTCAGCAGGAGGCGGCAAGTTTGCAAGTGGCCTGCCAAGGCCGCTCTGTGCAAAGCCGTCTGACCAAGTGTGTCCAGCGCATTCATCTGGAAAAGCATTAAAATAAAGCATCTCTTATGTTCTCTCCTATCTATTTTCTTCTCAAAGGGCCTTTCATTAAAAAAGAAATAACACAGGCTCCTTGAAAATCACCACAGAAATAATTTCACAAACAACTACAGTTCTAGTGTTCAGACCAAAGGAAATGGAATCAATTCATCTTTCACCACCTGGAAGCACTTGGTATTTCGAGGATTCCTGTTCATTATGAGAGAGTCATAATAATGAACAATCATAATGCTTTCCGAAATCATTTGAAAAAGAAAAAAAAGTACAACCAAGTGAACTGAGAATGACTAAATATCCCTTAACTATTCCATGACTCGTCATCTGAAGAGCTGTCCAAGAGAGGACTACGGAGCTGGCTGGAAGACAGCGTTCAGCATCTGAGCCACTTGCGTGGAGAACAGATGCAGAAGAGCATGGGTCTACGCTGCCGCCACCTCCCTCCAGGGATGCTTGTCCCCACTCCCTTTCTCAAAAAGATTCATTCCAAGGGCCCAGCTTGTGCCCCATCTCCTGTCTCTTCCGCAGAAAGACTTGGGAGACGGTGAGTGCCAAGAGAAGGTGATGCTTCACCAGCCTGGGAGGAATGGCCGGTACTGTGGACTCGGGCATGAAGAAGCTTTCCAAAGGGCACAGAAGTGGATCCCTGCATCAGTTCCAGAAGCTACTCCCTAGCAAGGCAGCGTGGTTCAGAGGGAAGCCAAGGCCCCGAGATCCCGGGATCCCAGGCCTGGAGCTGCCAGGGCCTCTGGCTGAAGGCCGGTGGGCAGCCCAAACGCTCAGGAAGCTGTTCCCGGCATCAGCCGCGCATTGGCCTCTGCGCAGCCTGCATGCCGACCCTGTGGGGCTGTCTCTTCTTCCAGGGACACCTGCATAATTCCTTCAACGAGTCTCCATCCTAACATCATTCTCATCTCAAGACACTGCTAGCGTTCCCTACTGCCTTCGGGATCAAGCACAGACTCTTCCGTTGAGTTTTTAAAGCCTTTCCCACCCTGGCTTTCTGGCTTGCCCTGCCTTCACACACGAGGCCTCCGTCTCTCTCTTTGCCTTTGTTCCCAGCTGGCTCCCACGCCTCGAGGGCCGTCCTTTTCCTCTCTGAAGAACAGTTCAAGCAACAGCTACCACGTGGCTATGCTCTCCCATGGGCTACAGCGTGCTGGGTTCACGCACCGTGGCGCACTGGACAAGACACAGCGGGGACAGCAGGCTAGCCTGGGAGTGAGGAACACGTGGATTCCAGTTCTGTCTCAGATGCCAACGGCTATGGGACCAGAGTCAAAGGGCAGGCCCCTACTCTGTGGGTGACATAGGAAATGCTTCAAGAGGACAGGCTAAACATGAGTAGCTGATGCAGGTAGGTGTAGGACACACCAGGAGGACCCCAAACCCATGAAATCCCACATTTGGATATTTCACAGAACACCACCCCCCTCAAGGAAAAAAGATACTGAATTTTTTAGTGGCTAATAATGCTGCTGACAGATACTGAGCTCAGAGTTTGTGAAGAGTCTCAGGTCTTTTAAAAAAGAATTGCTTATCTGCCACGTGGAACTTGACGTGTCAATGCATTTCAAAAAACACTTATTAGTGCTCCTTATGCACCAGGTGCTGTGCTAAGTAAGCGATGGAGATACAGCTAAGAGAAAGAAAGACTAGACCGTCTCTGCCCTCAAGGGGCTTACAACCACACAAAATGCTACACATACAGGCGCATTAAACCTAACACGATCACACCAGGTTCATCTTTTCAGACAGTCAAGGTCCTTGGAAAGAAAATTGTCCTTCAGGGTGCTCGTTATCTTCCCCCATGCAGGTCCACTGCCCGGCACACAGTAGGTGCCTAATAAATGCTTACGCCCTTGCCCTTCCCTCTACTGAGTAAAGCCTTTCGTCAATGTTAGAGGGCAGGGAAAAGGCAGCCACTTGATTAAGAATGCAGCGGGGGAAAACCCCCAGTGTGATTCCATATGCTAACCTTACCCACTCAATGAGCGTTTGCTGGCTGATCTTTTAGGAAAATGCACCTCTTCTGACAGGGCTTGAGACACTTTGAGCGCCGGGATTCCCACTGTCCAGTTTACTATGCTAGTCCCTGCGGGCTCTAACACAGCCAAGGTTGTTTTCCTTTGCCTCCTCAGCCCGCAACGAATGCACAGGTTCCGGAAGTCTGTGTCCCGCTTGACTCAGAAGCTTGGAGGACGAGCCTTGCTGGAGGACGAGCCTCGTTCAACGAGGCCCCTGCCTACTGCTCAGCCTCCCCAGGTTGTTTCCACTCTGGCTTTACACAGAGTCCCTTCGCTTCTTTCTCAGACAACCTGGAGGGCAGTCAGTCCCCTGGGCATGGCAGGTTCACGTCCCTGCCTGCCAGCATGTGCTGGTAAAGACCGTCGCCTGGAGTCCTTTCCCCCTCCTGTGACCAGCACCCCTGGACATTCTGAATCCACAAGAAGAGCACGGGGTGCAGCTCACACTCCAGCAGGGCCCACAGAGGGGGAAGACCTGAAGGTCACTGCCAAAGGGGAGCCTGCTAGGTCAGGCCTTTGCCTGGGGACAGCAGCTCGTGCAGGGAGGGACGGGTCAAGGGGATCCCTGCAGTGCGCCTCACCTTGGCTCCGTGCTTGTGCAAGGCCTCAATGACATCGTTGTGAGCTCTTTCTGCTGCCACGTGCAGGGGGGTCATGAAGCTGGATGGGAAATGGAAGAGGGAAACGTCACCATGAGTACAGGAGGGGCCTGGTTCTTACAAGCTGAAAAGCACAGTGAACAGTGGAGTCAACCTACTCTTTGTTCTTCTCATTCACATTCGCTCCTTTCCGCAGTAAGAGCTCTGTCACTTGCTTACGCTTGGGGTGCAAGGAGGCCACGGCGCAGTGCTGGAAGACAAAAACAAAGGGGGATCGAGGTTAACACTCATCACCTCCCCATTAGCCGTCCCTAGCCAAAGCCTGGGCCATGTTCCAGATGCCGCAGAAAACATCACCTAAATGCCTAGAGATGAATGTAGAACTAAGAGACAAAGACTTGAGAGTGAAAAGGGCATCTGGGCTGGGCTGATACATGTGCTTTCTTCAGTTTATAGATGAAGCAACTATACAAAAATGAGGTTAACTCATGAAAAGAAATTGTGGAACTAATGAGCACAGGCTCAGAGGTTAATAGATATGGAGCCGGAAGGAACCTTACAGGCCTCTGATTCCAACCTTCCTGTTGTTCATTATGAGGAAAATGAGGACCAGAGAGGTTGGAGGACTTGGCCAGGGCCAGGGCAGTGGGGGTCAGTGGCAGCAGCAGGACCTAAGCCAGACACTGTAACTCCAAGTCTATAGATGATTTCCAGGATCTCAAGCTGCCTACTTCTTCCACAGGAGCAATCATGGTGACATTAAAGAAGGCCTGGTAATAGCAGACCCGATATTCCTTGGCTGTGATAAAATGGCTAATGTCTGTTCTGTCAAGGCCATCATGACAGGCTGAAATCCCCACTCTGCTCCCAAGCCAGAGAGCAAGAGCTGAATGGTCTCATCAAGAAGCTTCTGTTGCCCAACCCCACGGGTGACAGGAATTCTGGCCGTTACTGTCTTCTGGGTGGGTTTGATCAGGAGCCTGCCTGCTGGAAGGCTTCCATCGATTGAGCTATCTGTGCCACTGGGAGCGAGAAGGCTGACTGGTGCTTGATACACCACGTCAACCTTCTTCTCCACATATGGGACTGATCAATAAAGAGATTACACACGAGCTGCAACAAAGCTTCTGATGATGAGGTCAAAAACATGTTCTGTGAGTGAAGGGAAAGAAAACTAACACCAATAGTCACTGAAATTGAAATGGAACTAATTTACTCAGGTTAGAAGAAACAGCCTGATATCTATTGTGTAAGTAATCTAATTGGCTAAGTCAAAAATTCCCATGGATCCTCCATATAAATCGAGCATTCTCTGCATGTTTACGAAAACACTGGACTATAAAACAAAAAGCTAAAATGAGCTTGGAGCCAGACCCAGGGAAAGGGTCCCAAAGGCAAAGCTTAGCGACTGCTCTGGACACGGCATTCTTTTAATTCCTGGAAACAGGCCCAACAAGGTCAGTCGTCTTCCTAACCTACGTATCTGCACTTTATTTTGGCTAGGCAATGGGGTTAAGTGACTTGCCCACGGTCACACAGCTAGTGAGTGTTATGTGTCTGAGGCCAGATTTGAACTCAGGTCCTCCTGCCTCCAGGGCCCGTGCTCTATCCACTGCACCACCTAGCTGCCCCCGTGTCTGCTCTTGAAAAGGAGCTGAGTGAGGTGCCGAATGAATCTGTGTGCTGCTGCAGACCTGAAGCCACCTCTGTGACAATCCAGCCTAACACACATCAGAGGAGTGAAGTAGCCGGAAGCGCTCACCAGAGCTGTCTCGTGAGACTGGGGCTGCTTGAAGTTGATGATCTCCAAAGCGAGCGTCTTTTTGACTTTGGCCAGGTCTGCTTCTCTGGCTGCTTGGAGTAAAGAGTGACCTTTAAATTCATCTGTTAACAAAACAAAAGTTCACAAAAAGCAAGGTTAAAGCCAAGCAAATGAGATGGTTGATCACTGCTGAAATCACCACCCCCCTTTGTGTCAGTCATCGTGCTATGAGGGTTAGGAGTGGGGGGTGACGGAATATAGGTACAAGGAATGAAACAATCCTGACTCCTAAAAAGCTGTTTACATTCTACGAGGGAATGGGATCAAGGCTGGGAGACAGAGGGACTAAGCGACGACTTTCAATGACATGTGAATATTCTAACTTGAGAGGTATCGGGCAATATATACACACATACATATGTGTGCGCACACTTTGTAAAACTGGAGAATACATTCAGCACAACCTAGAGCTGACTAACCACTGCCCATGTGGTGTACGTGAAAAGTGGTCCCCCAGCCCAAGGGGACTTTTTCTGTCTCAGGTTCTAATTCCAAGGAAGTTTTTCCTAAATGAGCCTCGTTAGGACTTGACAGAGTTTCACAGATTTGGCACTGGGGGCACAGGGCCCTGTTGCTAAGGGGACAGAGGGAGAAAGTGGCAGGGCCAGGACTTGAACCCACGGCCTCTGGCCCTGGGAAAAGGGGACTCCAAAAGCATCTCAGAGACACTGCAGGGAAAGCTCCATAAGAACATCAGCAGTTATTCACAGGAGGGGGACTACAAGACGTCAGTCAATAACGGGGCCAGTAGCCTCTCCTTTCCCATGGGAAAAGGGCTGGTCCCTGAAATCCTCTTCCTCCTCACTCAGCCGCCGCTCTACTCCAGGCTCCCATCAGCTCTCTCTCACTTGGACGACAGCCTCCTGACTGAGCATCCCTATCGCCTGGATCTCACCTCTCCCTGCGCCAATCCATGCAATCTCGCAAAACCACCCAAGTGTTTTTCCTAAAGCTCAGGTCTGACCATGGCCGTCCCTTCCTCAAAAAGCTGCACTGGTTTCCCTGGTGTCCCTGGACAGAATGCACACTCTTCTCCTGGACCTTCTGAGCCACAGCTGACCTTTTCAGGGTTATTGACATATTACTCTGTTTCATCTGTCACCTTACAAGCAAACTCGTCTAGTTCTTATTCTTCATCTCTCACTGCCACACCTTTGCCCAAGCTCTCCCTCCTGCCTGGTTCTCCTAATTTCATAAACATCCAGGGCACAAAGAAAGGCAGAGCAGGCCCACAGGGACATTTTGTAGCTCTCAAATGCTTGGCTGCCTGTTCTCTCGCTTCACGTTGCACTGACTATTACCTCACACTGAAGTGTTCCTCGCCTGTTTCAATGCAAATGTTTGTGTGGAGAAAAGATATCAATAACAATCATAGGCTCGTTGATGAAGAAAGGGCCATCAAATCCAAACCTCTTATTTTACAGGTGAGGAACTGAGATAGACCAAGGTGAAATGGGTCTCAGTCTGAGGCTGGATATAAACCCAGGTCTCCCCGACTTCCAGTCCAGTCCTCTAACCACTACCATACTGGCTCCTGGAGGAACAGTGACCCAATCACCAAGGGTCACGATGCTGGCACTACAAGTGCCTCCCTGGTCAAATAAGGGTTAGGATTCCCAAGGGCCATCCCAGGACAAGTGGCTGGGGCAGGCCTGGTGAGAGCTCCAGTCAGAGCCCTATGCTTGCACACTGTTCCCCAAGTGGAGGCTGGGGAGGGAGCTGAGACTGACAAGCCTGTTAGTCACAGCTGGGGGCCTGGGCTGATGCTAGGGGAAGCAAGAGGGAGGGAGGGACCACACACCAGGGAGGACGGACACAGTACAGGTAGCACGAGGCATTCCAAACTGGTGAGACTGAGGGGCCTTTAAAGGGCTTGGATTGGCCTTCATCAGTTCTAGGACCTGAGGGGACTGGGGCTTCAATGGGAGCCCACCTGGGTAACTGGCCTTTGCTGCAGTGGGACACAGAAAAAGCTTTCCATGTTGGGCCTTCCTTTGACAGGGGCTCAGGGGCTTGGAGCCTCTCTGAGGCTTTGTCCTATAGTGGGCTGGAGAAGCACCTGAATTCCTTATAGAGTCAAAAGAGCCTATGGGTTTTTTCACTGCCAGAAATCATTTCAAAAAGTGTCACTGTAATTGACAAAGTCTTTCTGCCATTTTGCTTTTTTGGGAAAAACCAAAAGTCACTAGCTGGAAACTAAATTGACCATGAGATTTGTAACCAATTAAGATCTCATACACACATAAGGCAATCTGCCAGTGTGCCCTGCTGAGAGAAGTTTGATAACTAACATTGGATGCTAATTCCATACTATCATATTAAATACAAATGCAAGACAAACCCTGCAGCAACTGATGCAGAAGAAGGCTTTCACAGAGCACCATGCTCGTTTGTTCTAAAAAACCTACAAAGTTTAGGCACGTTAACCTTTTTGTCTTGAAATACAATGAAGGGTATATCTCTAAAACCAAAAGCTAGCTTTACATGCAGTATGAAAATAACAGAAACCTTCACAATGAAGACAGGAATAAAGCAAGGATGCCACCTTTTCCTTCTGTTATTTGATAAAGTTCTAGAAATACCAGAAATAATATAAGAAAAAGAAATTAAAGTTATCAAAATAGGCAAAAAGACAAAAGTATCCCTATTTATTGGGGACATGATGTTTTATTTCAAAGATTCTGAAGAAGGGGCAGCTAGGTGGGGCAGTGGATAGAGCACCGGCCCTGAAGTCAGGAGGACCTGAGTTCAAATCCGGCCTCAGACCAAACACTTGACACTCACTAACTGTGTGACCCTGGGCAAGTCACTTAATCCCAATTGCCTAAAAAGTTAAAAAAAAAATTCTGAAGAAAAAGTAAGAAAAAACACTCTAATTGCAACGATAGTTTCAGTAAAACAGCATGACACAAACTATACCCTAAAAAACCAAGGGCATTCCTACATATAATAAAACAAAACCCGGCAGAGAATAACATAAAGGAGTCCCACTCAAAGTAGTGACAAAATTCATGAGACACCTAGGAGTTAATCGATCAAGGCCCATTCGAGGCCTGTACAAATCCACTTACAAAGCATTGCTGCAAGAACAAAGACTCTTAGATGACTGGAAGTCTGTTTGGTGCTCATGGATGGGTCACACCAACATAAAAAATGCAATGTGATCTTATCAGTTTTCAGATTTAATGTTGTAACAATCAAACTACCAAGAAAATGCTTTACAAAGCTGGAGAAAATAGTTAACAAAGCTCGAGTGAAAGAACTAAAGTCTGGAGTAGTAACAGAAGCAAAGGGTGACCAGCTCTAGCAATTGTTAGAATGCTTTGATATTGGTTAAAAAATAGATCAATGGAACAGGCTGGACAAGGAGAGATCAGAAATAACTCAATAACTCAGGGCACAACCCTCAAAACATAAATTATCTGGCAAAAATTAGGGTTAAAGCAGGGTTAAGAGATTCTGCTTTTTTGTGTCCCAGACTTCTTTGTCAGTCTGGTGAACCTTAGGGACCCAGTTCATAACTGAAGGAAATGCCACATATTTCAGATAGAAGTTCATGAAAATAAAGTTAAACGTAAAAACAAAAATATAATTTTTTTTCCCCATCCAGGGTCACGGACCCCCTGAAAGTTATCCGATGGAGTCTGCAGCCTGCCAGGTAAATACCCTTGGTTTACATTGGCATCACACAACATATACCATATAATACAGGGAGAACAAGGTGGAAGGGGGGGAGGAGAGTCTAAGAGTGATGCTAAATTTGTAGCATTAGAAAAGTGGATGGTATTTAGGACTCCCTGTGCTCAATTACACCTATATACCATTCCAAAATGCTACCACATAAATTCACTTAATCAGTATGATCTGAATAAACATCTCTCATTCCACTTATATTTTGCTTCATAAACGTCAGGCTGAGATGTGCAGAGACAAAAGTAAACAGTCCAGATTACAAGTGACTTGAATCTTCCTAAAAATCACCAGCTCAAGCTGCCAAAACTTGTGCAAAATCAATCCCAGAATGCGTGGATTCCCAATGGCCCCCTTTCAGAGGTGCTCCCAAACTCTCCTTGCAGGCACGAGTGGTAATCAGCATGTACAAAAGCTCACGATAAGAAGCACAAACCACCAGACAGGTCAGGAGACAGACACCCAAAGGGAAGGGAGGTGTGTGAAGTGCCAAGCCCTAAGGTCACCCCAAACACTGACCCAGAGGCCCGAGATACATACACGTCAGCCTCTCCCGCAGCTCCGGCGTGGGAGCCATGTCCACCGCGCTCTTGCCATGACAGTTGACCAAGGTGGGATCAGCTCCGTGACTCAGCAGCAAAGAGCAAACTTCTACGCGGTTCTTGGAGGCAGCCTCATGAAGAGGGGTGAACTGCCAGAGATCCATTGCGTTGACACAAGCTCCGTGCTAACAACAGGGAAGAGGCTGCAGGTTTAGCGAGCAGTTAAGGGACACACATTCATTTCCCCGAAATAACTCCACGAGAACAGTTAATACAATTACGACAACACAGGGAAGACAAAGCGAAAGCTCCGAGAGATGCAACGACCAGCACGTTACTGACCCGCCCGACAGATGACAGGTTTTGGGCATGGCCGATGTGGGAATGTGTGTTGCTCGATTCTGCAATTTGTTACAAGGGTTCTGTTTTTCTTTTCTTTTCTTTTTTTTAATGGAGGGGAAGGGCAGCAGAAGAGAAAAATAAATAATTGAAAAAACAAAAAAAACAACACTATCAAAAGGCTTCCATTCCTTTACCAAGAGATCTAAAAAGCACAAAATAATTTGAGGCTATGTTTTAAAATGTACCATGATGGTTAGAATTTCAAAATGTCTATCTAGTAAAAGTTTCTAGAGAAAATACACGGGCATAGTATGTGCAATGTATTGTTTTTTTAAACCTTGTTCAAGTTCTACAGCTCTCAATTAAAACTATCAGGACAAATGAAGCAATCTGTTATAGCTTTCTTACCTTTAAAAGCAATTCGGTGACTTCATAATGTCCATATGAACATGCGTTATGCAGAGGCACGAGCCCACTGAGTGAAGAAAGCAGATGACAGGAACAATTAAGAGACCAGAAAGAACTAGCAGGAAATCTAAAAAACAAACACTGGCCAGACAATCTGATTTCCAAACACCGTGATCCCGTCTGTTAAGGCAATGGCATTTCACCAAACGAGGCCCTAACAATTCCATCCAAACCTGGAGCCCAGTGAGATGCCCATGGGTACCCCCAGTGCCGCTCCACACAATGCCTGGCCCATGATGACAGCTTCCTTGTGGCTCACTTGATGCGGGCCCACAAGCCTGTGGGTGAGGGTCTACATAAGACCACTCGGTGCCCGTGCTGGGGGACAGCTCCCTGTTCAGAGGCACGTCAGATGAGGCAGAGGGGACGGGATGGAGTGAGGATGACAGGCTAAGCCCAGCAAAATAACATGGAGATGGCACGCAGACAACACAGCGCTCCCCCTATTTCGAGGCCCCACCTAGGAAGCCATGCCCGCAGCCTCTGGGTGTAAGCCCTGGGTTCACATACCCTTTGTCTTTGGCGTGAACATCGGCGCCATGCTGAAGGAGAAGCTGCACTATCCGAACGCGATTGTACCCTGCAGCCAGGTGTAAAGGAGTCGACTGGGAAAAGGAAAAACAAACAGGATGGGTCTACCAGTAAGTAAATACTCAGGACTCTCTCCTCCAGCGCCTAGCTGCAGATGATCAAACACACGGTAAGAACGCCAAGCTGATGAGCCACAAGGGTGCTACAGGAAGATGCCACGTATTAAAAAGCATCCTAGGAGCCCTTCTTTCGTTTCTGCTGGTGTTACCTGCTGGAGACAGGAAACCTCTCTGCCTTCCCTTCCCCAGCTGAGGCCATGTTCCATTCTTCGTCTAAATAAATACTCATCCCTCAGCTCCACAGCGGGTGGTATACCTCCCTACGTCTCATCTTACACAATATGCAAGGCTGTCTTAAAAGCACAACTTTATTTTCTTTTTAAAAATTATTTCTTTCCCTCAATTACACGTAAAAACAATTTTAACGTTCATTTTAAAACAAATCTTGAGTTCCAAAGTCTTTTCCTCATTCCCTCTCCCCCTCCTCATTGAGAAGGCAAGCAATTTGACATAGATTATACATATGCAGTCATGCAAAACATATTTCCATGTTAGTCACGTAAAAGAAAACGGACAAGAAAAATAAGAAAAACAAAAGTTAAAAAAGAGTATGCATAGAGCTTCATTCAGATTCCATCAGTTCTTTGAGGGTGCATAGCATTTCTAATCATTAAATCCTTTGGAGCTGTCTCGGATCACTGCATTGCTGAGAACAGCCACGTCATTCACAGTTGACCATCATATGACGTTGCTGTTACTGTGTACGATGTTCTCCTGGTTCCACTCACTTCACTTTGCAGCAGTTCATGAAAGTCTTTCCACGTTTACTAAGAGCATCCCCTTAACATTTCTTCTAGCACAACAGTATTCCATCACAATTATATACAACAACCTATTCTGCCATTCCCCAAATGATGGACAGCTCCTCAATTTCCCATTCTTTGCCACCACTCAAAGAGCTGTTATAAATACTTTTGTACACATAGATCCTTTTCCTTTCTTTTTTTTAAATCTCCTTGGGATGCAAACCTAGTAATGGTACTGCCTGGTCAAAGGGCTATGCATGGTTTTACAGCCCTTTGGGCATAGTTCCAAATCACTCTACTGAATGGTTATATCAGTATACAACTCCACCAACAGTGCATTAGTGTCTCAACGTTCCCACATCCCCTCCAACATCTGTCATCTTCCTCTTCTGTCATATTAGCCAATTTGATCTGTGTGGGGTGGTAGCTCAGAGTTGTTTTAATCTGCATTTGTTTAATCCATAGCGATTTAGAGCATTTTTCATATGACTATAGATGGCTTTGCTTACTTTGTCTGAAAACTGCCCATTCATTTCCTTTGACTGTTTATCAGTTGAGGAATGGCTTTTATTTTTTCATGTAAATTTGACTCAGTTCTCTCTCTATATTTGAGAACTGAGGCCTTTATCAGAACAACTTGCACAGCTTTATTTGCAACAATGTCTGACTGCTCTGAGGAATATTTGGGGGCGTGGGAATGACTGGGCCTCACCACATTAACTGAATGGAACAAACTCACTTCCCTGTTGGACAGCGTCGTCACACTCCAGCTTCACCAAGGGAATCGTCCTCATGGGCTGAGGAGGAAGGTGACCCTGACAGAGGGAGCATTTTTCTTGCTCTCCAGGAAGCTTTCCATGTGAGGGGGGTCACTACGATGTTCAGTGCAGGTCTCTGCAGGGACCATTCAGGACCAGTTCTAGTGAGAATGGGTGATAAACTGGGGAAAGTTCTTTGGAGTCAGACAACCAGGATCAAAGCACACATGATTCTAAAGACCTGTGTGATGTGGGGCGTGAGATACCAAATGAGAAAGCTATGGACTCCCTACTATCCTTCAATGAATCTTCTAGTTAGGGAGTTAGGTCTTCTCCCTGATCCAAAAATACAGTAGGTCTCTGAGCATGTTTTCTCTTCACCTAAAAGCTCTTCTACCTCGGCTAAAATTGTGTCCACTGCCCCAGTCCCACGGCCAGCATCAAGCCCTCTTTGATAACGTTCTCCTGTGACCCTCCTCTTCACAACAAAGTACAGAAAACGTCACTCAGGGCTACAGCCACGCCACCCTCAACATGCCTGGGGAGAGTTGGATGGGAACATCAGATGCTACAGAAGAGAGGGGAGGGGAAGAGGAGGAGGAGAGGACTGGGTGCTGATAATGTGGAGGATGACATCCAGTATTCATCCTACTGAGGAGCTGATTGGCAAACTCTCAAAACCAATGTGCTATACGGTACAGAAATACCATCATTATTCAGTGTTGACGTATTTCTATGTCAACAGATCCAACACACATAAAATAGGAAAAGGGAGTTTCTCTCCAAGCTAATTTCTGCCCACAGTAAAACTGGAATGAGATTATTAAAGGGTTCGCTGCTTAAATTTAGCAGGATAATTAAAATGATCAAACTTCTCCTTGATCCTTTTATAAAATCCGTCAGAACACTTTTTTAATTAAAAGCTTCCGTGCATCCGCAGCAATCCATCCACCTTGACTCATTTATTTACACAGAGTTTAATTACTCTAATAGCACTTTAAAGACGGTACATTTCTGCTCACTGCTCAAGGTTCTTCCTTCCAGATTTCCCACCTCATGTTTTAGGCCCTGATACGAATACAGTCTTTCAAATATATTTTCTTCAAACATTTAAGGTCAAAACATGAAAGAATGACAACACTGTATATAATAGTTTATGAAATAGCATTTCAAACACAGAATGGGAATCTCCTTCCTTTCCATCACTATAGCCTAAGTTTAAAACACAGTTTTGAACAGCTCATACCTACTAAACAGATAGCCTGGGGATATAATGGAGCAGCAGCAAACCAGGGAATTTTGCATCAATTCCCAGCCCCATTGGCAACTTCCAGAGAAGCTTTATGACATCTGCTTAATCTGGGACTCAGTCGCCTCAACTGTAGAACAAAGATAGTATCACCAATTCTGTTTACCTCCCACACAGAACCGTGAAGATAAAACAAGATCCTATTTGTAAAGGACAGTGAAAATGAGATCAGCATTCCACATCAACAAGGTCTTACCAACTTTACACCATGTATCCAACGTGTAATCCATGCTGATCTCTGTAATGAGTGTGCATACTGGTCACATCTAGTCTTTGTAATAATCTGCTTTCCTGGAGTACAAGCAGCAGCTAGAGCCTCTTTCCCCCTGTGACATGGAGTGCTCCTGTTTTCAGCCCGGAGCCAGCATAAGAGACAGAGTGCTGGGCTGGGTGGTAAGAAGACCCAAGTTCAAATCCTACCTTGCTAACTTACTGTCTGTGTAACTCTGGGAAGATCATTTAATCCGTGTGTGCATCCGTTTGGAGGGGGCTTTAAGTGTGGGATCCTCTTATCTAAATGCCTTCTCCGCTCACTAGCTCAGGAGCTGATTGAGTTACACGCAGGACATGGAAAATTCACAGAGCAGCTCGACTCCCAGAACCATTGCTGAGCCCCAAGTCAGTTATGTCACTAAGACATCTGCCACATCACACCACAGTGCTGGGGCAACGGAGATCGAGTTATTGCTTACATTTTTAAAAAAATCAATTCTTACAAGACAAAATATGAGTATCCAGCAACTCGTTCAAAGGGGAGGTACAAAATCATCTGTCAATGAGTATAATCAATGCAATTCATTTTCTGTTTCTTCTTTTTACCTACTACACAGTTTTTAAGCTAAATACTGAGAAATTATTATGTTATTTATGGAGAACAGGTCATAAGAAATGAAGAGCAAAAGATAGGAGTTGGCTTCTATTGATTTCTGAAATCTAAAATGATTCTGTAAGCTTTCCGAAAGGGAACCTCTAGGGAGCCTTCAGGTTTTCTATCCCTCTCCCCCACAAGAAGGTATCGCTGATCCACAGCCATCCCAAGTCTGTCATCCTGGATTCCAAGGACAGGCCGAGTCACACGGCATTACGGCACTCCTAGGACTCAGCAGAGAGAGACGCATATCCCAAAGGAACCCCGGCTGCACTGAGCAGAGCCGAGAAGAGAATCCAGGTAGAGACCTCCAGTTTAAACCTTATTTCCCAGCCCAAGGAGTCTTCTTTTCATGAGAACTTGGACTTAATGTAGGAGCCCTATAATCAGTTATCTGTACAACTGGATCTCATTCATGAATGAAATCAACAGTCACGATTAAATACTCTCTATGGGGCAAGGCACTGTGTTGGGTCCAAGGAGGACAAGACAGGTGCAGAGTGGAAAGAAGATGAAATTTGGAAGAAGACCCAAGTTCAAATCCTGCCTCAGATACTACTTAGTTTGCTGTGTGACACTGAGTACATCACTTAACCTCTCTGACTCAATTTCCTTATCTGTAAAATGAGGATAATGATAGCACTGACCTTATAAAGCTCAAATGAGATACTAATAGTTGATTGTATGAGATCATTTTATATTCTGATGCTTAAATGAAGTTATTATATTAACTAATTTTTCATTCTCTAGGTAAACCACTGTAATAATCTGGTTTCTTTACTGCCAAGGTGTAGGCCTTGGAATTCTTTTTTGTGGCTACTGCTATAGTGAAGCACAAACAGAAGCGTGTTCCGTTTACTTAATGACAGTGTGCATTCTTACTTTGCCACTGATCCTGCTGGAAGGCCTCTAGTCTTGCTCCATTACAGATGATTCTACTTCTTTCTTTCTGATAGGTTTTCTTTACACTTCTGAGCAAAGATGCACTTATTCCTATGCTTTTATGGGATTTTTATATGAATACTGAATTTTGTAACAAGCTTCTTCTGCATTTACTGATGAGGTGATTTTATTGTTGTTCTTCCCATGAGCTATTCTATTCATAGTATTTTTAATACAGAAACATTACCAGTGCAATGATCTTTTGAACATGTTCCTTTTAAAAAGCACTGAACAGTTTATTCAAAATTTTTAATCAATACTCATTAGAACCAACAGTATAGTTTTCTTCCTCCGCTTTTTATCTCTCCAGTTTAAGTATCCAGATCATATAA